GGGGGGGGGGGGTATAGGGGAGACGTGGATGCGGGAAAGAAGGAGAATGGAGAAGAAGAAGATAAAAATGGAAAGGAAGAAGATTTCCTTATAATACAATAATATCATAATAAGCAAGTTCGGGTAAATTTATTTCGTCGAACCATCGAATTTTCACGCTGTCACGGATATCTTGTAATATTTTGCTGTAATGATACGCGATTCTCGGTTGTCCGTTTTGGCACACTCTGTTCACGAGAATGAAAGCCGTGTATACATGGGTAGGATGCGAGTATTCAGCGGATAGGTAGTGTGTAGGTAGATGCGTCGATGGAGGAGCAAAGGAAGGTAGAGGATTGGCGGAGATGCAGCTTAGAATTCCACGCATAGTCGAGGGGTCTCTGGTTGGTTGGTAAGTGGGACTAGCCGGGACTCATAGGCAGCGTGTCTCCTACGAGGCTCACAGTCTTATTCGGAACTCTGAAACGCGTCCAAGCGCGGTGTTCTCTTGCTTGTCCGAACAAGTTCCCTTCGCACGTTCGCACGTTCTTTCTCCCCCGAAATTCGGTGAAATTAATTCGAATAACGCATTCGATCATGCGTAAAAATTTCAGCAACGCCGTCGTTTGATTCTGTCTGGACTCTACCGAGGGATAGAGAGAGAGAGAGAGAGAGAGAGAGAGAGAGAGAGAGAGAGAGAGAGAGAGAAAGAAAGAGAGAGAGACTCATAGGATCGAAAGGGAGAAGTGACGAACGAGAGCGTGAATGGGCACAGAAAAGAGAGGCCGTGAGAAAGAGAGAGTGTGTCTATGAGAGTGTATTATGCGAGAAAGGGATACAGAAAAGTGGAGAACGAAGCAATAAAGAGAGAAAGAGTGAGAGAGAGAGAGAGAGAGAGAGAGAGACATAGAATGGCAACCGCACCAAGGAGAGACCAAATTCGCTTAACGAAAGCTAATTACTTACTTGCTTTTTATTTATTTTAATTATTAAATATTGATTGATTGATCGATTAATTAATTATTGTATTTATTGGCGCGGAAGACTGAGAGACGGTGGGATTCGCGGAAAGAGAGAGAGAGAGAGAAAGAAAGAGAGAGAGAGAAAGAGAGAGAGAGAGAGAGAGAAAAAGAGAGAGAGAGGGAGAGAGAAAGAGAGAGAGAGGGGGAGACACGTTGCGTCGAATCGAAGGAGAATCGATCGAGATCCACTCTTTCACCAGGATCCGGTATAACGTTTGTATCGCGGATATTTTCGAATATTTCTCAGGAAGAAAGATCGTGGCTGTTCTAACGCTGTTATAACGGATCAAGCTGCGAAGAATCGAAATCGTCAAGACTAGATCGAGGTTGGGCTGGGGGTCGGGGTCGAGGTCGAGACCCAGATCAACATCAAGATCTTGGTCGAAATCGAGGTCGTGCTTGGATGTGGAGGGTGAGTTCAGGGATATTTATTCTTGATATTCGATCGTTACCGTACCGTGATTACGCGTATTCCATTCGATTAGCCATTTTCTCGCTGTCAACGATCGCGAGATCGTAACGACAGAATGCGATCATCCGTTCGTTTGTTGGATTTTCGTGGACGGAAGAGAATGAAAGCAAGATGATCTCAATCGGAAAAGTACGCGTTTGACGGGTCGAAAGTAACCTTTTCGAAATGCAGCCCCGAATTCTCACCGATATTTCCCCTTTGTATTCCACGTGTAATTATCGTTAAAACATTTGATCAGGAAGAGAATGTGTGTGCGAGAGAGAGAGAGAGAGAGAGAGAGAGAGAGAGAGAGAGAGAGAGAGAGAGAGAGAGAGAGAGAGAGAGAGAGAGAGAGAGAGAGAGAGAGAGAGAGAGAGAGAGAGAGAGAGAGAGAGAGAGAGAGAGAGAGAGAGAGAGAGAGAGAGAGAGAGAGAGAGAGAGAGAGAGAGAGAGAGAGAGAGAGAGAGAGAGAGAGAGAGAGAGAGAGAGAGAGAGAGAGAGAGAGAGAGAGAGAGAGAGAGAGAGAGAGAGAGAGAGAGAGAGAGAGAGAGAGAGAGAGAGAGAGAGAGAGAGAGAGAGAGAGAGAGAGAGAGAGAGAGAGAGAGAGAGAGAGAGAGAGAGAGAGAGAGAGAGAGAGAGAGAGAGAGAGAGAGAGAGAGAGAGAGAGAGAGAGAGAGAGAGAGAGTGTGTGTGCGAGAGAGAGAGAGAGAGAGAGAGAGAGAGAGAGAGTTGCGCTGCTGGTGCAACTTGCCAGACATACGTATATACACGCACGTATATGTCAACAGACACGCTTCGTTGTATTTGGAAAAACGAACAATTTGGTTTGCGAGGAATTTGCGATTAATGATTTGGACAGGTCTGCGACGCGTATCGTTCGTCACGTGTGTCGTGTGTCGTGTGTGGCGAGTGGCGAATCGCGAGACAACAACCAACGAGATTATCCGTAATATCGTGAAAATAATAATTTTTTACTTTTATCGTACAGATACGACTTTGTTTAAACGTATCGTTAATTTGATCGTCAACCGAAGCTGGCTAATTAAAGGTAAATCGTATCTACGTGCAAGTGCTCTAACGCGAGTCCCATTAGATAAGATAGATTGGAAGGTAGCCGAGGTAATATCCGAGAAAAGCAGACGATCGAGCGATCGTATTTGACGTAGAGGATTTTTAAAACGTAGAGAAATAATGGAGACAGAGGCCAAGCTTTCCAACCGTTTAATTGAATTTAGGTCGCGGTGCGAGCCGTGGTAGTGTCTTGAAATTTACACAAGGAAAAATATCACCGTCTTAACGCGTTTAAAAGAAGTGGAAAATGGGAAATGAAAAATGAAAAATCATAAACAAACGAGGCAGCGAGGGTACGTCAGACGATCGGCACTGGTTGGCAATATCTAGAATTTGGTAAGAGATAGGGAGAGAAACTTTACTTTCTCTGCAAGTGCAACGATGCACCTTTTCTTTTGAATGCAATTGCATTTTTTTCTCTTTTATTTGTATCAACTCATTTCTCTACGTTTACGAAACACGTGACATTGATATATATATATATATATATATATATATATATATATATATATCGAACAGCTTTACCGACGATTTAAAGCGGTGGCTGGTTAAAATTGGATTTTTAAAAGCGATATAGCGACTTTTCGCGCGGAATGTTTCCACGAGTCGATGGGAATAACAATAACGCGTTGGATGGAAAGAGTACGTTTGTATTTTTCGAGCGCATCGTTACACTTGCAAAGAAAGCGAAGCAATAGGCAAACAGATACTACACGGTTACTATAGATACTTTCCTATCTCTCGGCGAATTGGCAATTGCGCGACGCACTCTCTATACGTGATATACCATATTATTATATACGTAATATGTTAAATAGTTAGGTTAGCCGCCTCGTTGAATTTTAGCGGTTGTTGCATGCCGCGGCCTTGAACACGCAATGAGAGATAACGGCTCGCGAGAAACGTAACAGACGCTAACCTGATTTCACCGCATCCGCGTGGTGAATCGTATCGAGCTATAATTACCCACCGCGACACCCCGTAGCCACGCGTTTTAGCTGCTAACGGCGATGCAACGTCTAACCGGATCGTCAACTTGATCTCATAAACGGACAAAGACCGATTCCCGTAAATAATAAATAACGCGTATTAACGTAACGTATTTATGCACGTATTTGCCGTACGTACGCTCACATATGCTGTTTGCCGCGTTTCGTCCCGCGTCGGAATCGCGAAGCTCGATCGAACGATTTTAAAGATAAAAAGTGCGGCGAAAAGATGAAAGCAGGAGAAAAATTTGCCTACCAGAGAAAAACAACGAAGAGGGAGGGAGAACACGCACACGTACGTATGTACGACATAAGAAAGCAAATGCGTAACGTTACGTTGCGTTTCCTCTGTATATTGCCTTGCCACCGATACACGTAAATCTGCCGAGGAAAATACCGATGTACGTAAATCTAGGAAGAAAAATACCGATATACGTAAATCTGCCGAGAAAAATACCGATACGCGTAAATCTACCGAGGAAGATACCGTTAAGGGAGCTTCAACTTTCTCTCCGTACGTTTGTCATCTTCCTTCTTCTTCTTACTTTTCTCACTTTCTTCCCTTCTTCTACGCTCTTTCCAACGTTTTGTTCTTTTCGCTTAAGGAAACGAACCGATGTTCTCACCGTATCGTGAAAGCTAGGCGAGAAGCGTGAGAAATGGGAATATCTGGCTTTTTAAAAATTTGCATCTCTGATTCGTGCGTTCGTTAACGCCCGTCGTAACGATGAAACGCCAACACCATAGGAAATAGAAGTGGCAAATTTCGCCGCTTGCCCATTAACTCGATCAGTATACGGTTATCGAGTAATTGGACGAGTGTACTTGTTAGAAAACAAAGTTAGGAAACAACTTGGCGAGAGAGATAAAGATAGATAAATAGATAGATGGATAGATAGATAGACAAATAGACAGAGAGAGAGAGAGAGAGAGACGACGCATCGCGTTCATTGCTAATCGCGATCTCTTTATTTTTAGGAGATAGCAGAAGAAAATCACGAAAGAGAATCGCTTTCTTTGATTTTTCTATCTATTCGATCGATATCGGAGACACCGAAACGAAATGAAGCCGATCCAAGGTGCGATATGGTTGCTTGCATTGGCGGTTGGATGTATAGCTTTACCGGCGCAATTGCAAGCAAATTCGAAGAATGCGGGCAAGACGAAGCAAAGCAAGACGACGTCGTTGCATTCGAGGGAGGGCGGATCTAACGATTCGGCAATTATGCCGAACGGTAGTAGGAACATCGATGAGAACAGCATCGACGTTAACAACGATACCAAGATTACCGGTAACAACGACGTGGACAGCGTTACTCTATCGAAACCCCTTCCTCTCGGAATTTCAGCTACTATCGAGAGCAACGCGGTGCTCGCATCGTCCTTACCGTCATCGCCATCAACCGCGTCCGTATCGACATCGACATCGACATCGACATCCGCTTGGACGGATCATCCTCTCGCGGCAATGACAGAGTCGTCCCCAACGAGCGGTTCTTCGTCGTCGCCAATTAGCAAAACAGAATTTAGTTCAGCAACGACGAGCAACCGCGGAACGACCATGACCACGAGAATCGCGTTAAATACCAGCGCTTCTAATACCAGTTTGAGCGTGTTTCCTACAGAAGCTTCTTCGAGAACCATCGCTACCAATCGAGATACGGCTACCTTGCTATCTTCCTCGAAAAAGTCCACCACGAACTCGAACGAATTCGTTACTACTCCTGCTACGGCTTGGTCGAAGGAGACGCGAGAATCACCCGGAAAAATTCGCCCTCAAATTAAGCTGACGACAAACTACACCAGTCTGACCGAGGTAAGTAAACGCCACTTTCTGACAAACTAACGAAGATAACGAGAGAGAAGCGGCACTTTGTTAGGAAAGACGCGTATTCGCGCGCAGCAACGCTGGAAAGCCTAAAACGACTTTGATTTTGCGATGGCTCTGACGCGGCAAATGGCTTGAAAATCGGTAGAGTATGGTAAAAATATCTCGATATCGCGGCACACGAGTTCCATGCTTCGTATTCGCAAGTAGAAAACCAGCAACCAGCTGTAAAATGTATATAGCGTTGCTCGTGTTATCCTCCAGTTTTATCGATCTGCACTGCGATCTGCACTTGGCGGTAAAGAGTGCGGTAAAAAGGTGATAGGCGTTAGAGAGGCGACGAAGGCGATACACGAGATATTTTGGCGAGATTAATCGAAGCAGCAAGGCCGAAAGAATCGATCGTGGTTCACAGAAACGTGAAAGAAAACGTTTCAAATCAGCCATATTACCTACTTGCTTGGTATAATTTTAAACGCAACAGATTGTGTTCGCGGAGCGTTCCACGTGCAAAGTATAACTGTTTAAGCTACGTATATACATAACTATGTTAGTACCGTAAGTACGCTGCTATAAAGCGGTTAGGTTGCACGGTTAAAGATGCGTTCCAGCTAAATCGTGCATACGCTCGGCTTGATAAAAATAAGCCGTGTTTCGTACGATCTCGATCTGGTATAACAACGCGATCGGCCGAACGATACGGGCACGATGGTATCTTGGTTTGCTAATACACCGGCTCACGCAGTCCGTATCGAGTAAAAAGTAGAATTTTCGTCGGACGTCAACGGACGATAGATGACAGTTGGATTACCGTATCGAGTCGTACAAAGCCTCGGTAAAAACGCGCTGTGTGACGGGCACACTGAAACAACGATACCACGTAGTAAAGGAGAACATGGGAAAATTATACTTTTCGCAATTTCGCCTGGTTGGGGTTAGGTTGGAAGATCGGAAACGTAAAAAAGGGGTCGTCTCGTGTTGAACTTTTCACGACTCGCTATTACCGAACGTTGGCAAGACTCGAGCGCAAATTTACCGCACGGTGCTTAACGCATTAACAAAGGCAGAGAGAGAGAGAGAGGTGCTATTTGTTGGAGAGAAACGATCGATAAATAGTAAAGTGGACGAGAAATTTCTTTCTTTTCCGCCTGTTTCCTTGTTCTTTCCGAGAATTACCAGGCTATTTTACAGCAATTTCCATGGTTTCGCTGCGTTTCTTCTTTCACTTTTTCGCTACTATCCTCTATCCCTTCTCGTCTCGATGCATCTTGATCGTCTTGATCGTCGATCAATCCGGTCATCCGGTAATTATTTTAATAGGCGTCGCTTCACTCGGCAAACGATTACCTATGAAACTCGTTTACATCCCACGAATTACAGTTACCGATAGATATCCGACACGATGGAAAGGTCGGATCGGATGCAAAACGGTTCTGTCTGTCACGTTGCATCGTAAGAGTTGCGTTTTACCTAGGCGACTGACGATTACTCGTGCCAGCTAAGTTTTGCTTTGTAAATAAGAAGGAGATGGAAGAGGAAAGTGCAACCGACGCGAAATTCCGGATGCCAAGGGTACCAACGACTGTCTACTTGCCAGTTTGTTGTATGTTCGCACGTGGATACACGTGCGTGCGTGTAGTCGATAAGAAGGGCTCGGTTTGTTAACGCAAACGTCATCGAAGCGCTAGAGGTAACACGCTAAAGTCGTGTAGTACGGAGCAAGTAACAACATCCATCGTAAATGCAACAACAATTTCCGTTTCCGCGTAGCGAAGTAGTAAATGTTGAATCGTTTGAAACGTGCTTCTCCTTCTCCTTAATTTCTTTCGCGTTTTTCCTTTCATCTTTCTTTTCTAAATGGTAACGTATCGAAGAAAGAGGAACGAGTTGCGAGAGCGGACAATCCATTCTGCTTTTAATCGGCAAGCTCGGTCGTCTTTCGTTCCGATTGTCCGAACATTTGGCAATTGTTCAAAATTCGTTGCGCGTAATGGTAATAAAAGAATCGACGGGAAGAAAGATAACTGAGATATATAGGATAAATCAGCGGCAAACGTAAACGATCGATGCGAGAGGGCGAATAAAACATGAAAAATAAAAGAAAAGGAAACGTAGGCGAGGGTTCGGAATCGGTTCGAGTCGCTCGTGGCTTAAGCATTACGTAGAACGTAGAACGTATAATACGTAGAACGTAGGAAGAAGAAGGAGATTTTGATCGTAGTATTGTAACACAGGTATAGTTCCATAGGTTCCAAGTCTACCAGTCTACCGTGTTTCGATTTGTTCGACTCGAATATTCGCTGAATCGAGCACTGTTGAAGTTTTTTTACTAAATTGTCACGCGAATCGTATTGCTCGCTTTAGCGTTTGAAAAGGAGGGCGAGTGTTCATGACCGTGACGCGCTAGTGGATCGGCCGATGTTAATATCGGTAGTGGAACGTGACGGTAGCAAAAGAAGCAGAAAACATTGAAAAGGAAAAGAGCAAGAAGAGGTTAGATAAATGCGGAGAATCGAATGGCGTTACTACACTGGTCGTTGAATGTTACGCGTTACGTTCGCGCGATCTTGTGCCCGAGCGGATACTTACGTAGGAGCGGACCGTTTCTATCGATCTGGCTGTAATCGTCGAACGAGAACGATCGCGATACGATAGCGGTGGGATCGAACGAACGAACGATTAAACTTTGACGATATGGGAAATAAAACGGACTTGTCACGGTGACGAGAAACCGATCCGATTCGATGGAATCTAGGGTAGACCAACGGAAACTTTGATCAACGGAATTACGATTAGCACGTCGATCACGAAAGTATACCGTGCCAGCGACTGTAGCACAGGGAAAATGTCAACTATCGATCGTACGACCGATTAGCGGACAGGGCACCACCCCGGCTAATCGAACGTAACGATGAAAATACGATTACGGTTTTCGTTTAGCATGTGCACTCTGAACACGGCTAGAGCGGAACTTTGTAAGGAAAGAAAAGGAAAGAGCGACGATAGCTGTCGTTGAATTCACAGCTGTGGCTGTTTATTCGTAACGTAAAACCAATTGTTCGAAGCGCGTTGAAGAGATTCTTCGAAGTTGGCAAATAGAAAATCGACGTTGAAATTGGCACGGGCACTGACTCTGACTCGGTGTTCCTGCAGTTGTATAGGTAGCTGTAGTAATATTATCGCGTTACTCCTAATGGAACCGGCAAGTTTGTGGTTCACGAGAACCACCAAGAATCACGATCGTGGATTCACGACTCGGCAAAATTAGATTTCGTTTCTTTCGTTTTCTTATTTAACCGCCGCGTTCCACGCTCTTAGCGCGGTCGCGTCCTTTCCTTCTCTTTTCTTCTCCTCTTTTACCCCTTTTACACGTCTGCGCGATTGTTACACGCTAAACACGCGATTAACGCTAGGTATTTGCAAAGTTGAAAGTACTCGAACGACGAGTGTTAGCACGCGACGTATGCATAGAGTAGGGCGTAGCGACTCGAGGAGTAAGCGAAAGAAGGCACGAACGAAAGAAGCGGAAATAAAAGCGCTGGTTATTTGATCGATTTGCAGACAGGAGTACGACTACCGGAGGGTGCGAGCGCAGCTCTCGCAAAACCAACCAAGTATCATTACTATCCGCATAATCAGCACATCTACTTGTTACCAGAATGCGCTGTTCAGCAGGTTTGCAACGCAGTTTACGTTAGACTCAACTTTACCCAGCCTCTGTGCGCTTGTCCAGGAAGATACCGCGACCCTTGCAGCGCCTCTCTCGACAGCGACGATCTCCACACTACGGAGCTGGTCACCGACCCTCGAACCAAGGTTAGTCGCCTCGCCTTCTATCCGCTTTACCAGTCCTTTATTCCCGTGCCTGCTACGCGTACCTTCTCTCCAGTCAGATGCTTCTTCTTCTCGTTACGCTTCTCGTTACGCTTCTCGTTACGCTTCTCGTTAACGCTTCTCGTTCCGCTTAACGTAACGTAACGCGACGTAACGGAACGGAGGAAATCGATTCGATATTTCGAATCGTATTGTTCGCGTTCGCAAACCTATCGTATTTTCTAAGCGCGTTATACCTACTTGTCGTCGTAATATAGGCAAAAATACGAAAAGTAACCGATTTACCGCCGACGATTGAGTAAAATAAATAGTATAATAATAGCGTAATAGTAAAAATGCGACAGCATAGGATCGTTATATCGATCGTAAGACGAGAAAACCTCGCCTAGGTGTTTCGGTGCGAAAGCAACTGACAATCTCCCATTATTTGCCTTTCTTCGATAAATCAACATTGCGCGTACAAATACTTTCTCGCTTTGTTATCGGTTAACAGTATCTCATCGATTCATATAGGACGTTAAAAATTCAAAGATCTAAAGAGTATGGTACGCGTGGTCCGTTACATTGGCTGGAAGCAAATTGTACGCGATCGTAAGCAAACGACGAAAGTATCGGCGATACGAGAGAAAACGCGATCGCAGATCGACGCGACGGCAAAAGCTTGCCGGGCCAGAGAACACGGTGAGAATGCAAGAAACGACGATCGTTCGCTTTCAGCCACCGTAATAACGATTTTTCTATTTGAGAGGAAATTATTCGACGACACCAAGCAACTAATAAACGATGGCAAATATATAGAAATATTCGTAGTGAACGCGTGCATACTTGTACGTATAGACGTAACGTGGAAAGGGATAAACGTGGATGGCACGCTGATCTAAAGTTAACCGATTTTTAGGCCCTAACGTTGGTGAAAACGTGCGAACCAGTGGCGGAAATGCGCGAATGTAGAATACCGAGGGACTGGTCTCTTCTCGCGCTACAAAACGTGCGAACGGGAAAGTCTCATTACCTCGTGATATGTCGTTGTCCCGATGCCAACATATTGGGTACGTACGTAAATGCGAAAAGCGGCATAATCGTGTTAGAAACGCAACTGTTCGAGTTCGACTGTCTATACGTCTTATACGCTTCCTATGGATCGTTAATTACGTCGTATGTTGTAGAGGGTCCTATGAGTCACGATCAACCAACATACGCCAGTGTACCAGGGATTCGGGTTTACGGTATGATGTGCGTGCAAGGAAATCGGAAAGGTCGACAACTGCGGTATACTCGCGCTCTTTCAGGTATTTGCTCTATCAAAATCTCCATAGATGATCTCCATAGATCTCCATAGAATATTGAAAATATCTGGCTGGCTCCAATCATCCACGATTAACACGATTTTTGTCTGACTGTTTATTCCTTGCAGATCGTCACCAACGAGAAATGACCCAAGATTCTCACAATGACAGAGAAAACACGAACGAACGATTAAACTTTCCATGGTACAAGGTACAACAACTTATGGATATAGCTGTTTGGGACTAGATTCGTTGATCGAACAAACAACTTTCGACGATACGATCAGTGACACTATGCTTAGCGGCGTATCCTTCTATTTATTCGTTATAAGCGTCTCTCTCTTTCTCTCTCTCTCTCTCTCTCTCTCTGCTTCGCTTCGCCCTCAATTTATTTATCGATTCGTCCGTTTCTTACGTTTATTTATATATATCATACGTATCTAGATGTATATGTATATCTATCCCTACCGAGGCACGTTTATAACATCGAGTCCGACACTTTGAAACAACGACAACGCGTGTAATTGTATTCTTTCGTAGATTTGTCTGTTATAATTTGGACTACACGACGTGATTCTACATAACGATCGAACGTGATCAGCGTAAAATATTTCATTCCTAGTATCGTCGTCGCTCAACGTGTCACTCTCTTTCCTTAAATCCTTAAACGAATTCGATCGTTTACTTACATTACTACCTTCTTTATTCCGTCATTTATTATAACGTCAAACGTATCGTACGACGAGCAGAAAATTATAGGTGGTTGTCCGTTTATCCGATTAGAATAACGAATTAATCGTACGAATACTATCGTCTCCATCTATGGCGAATCTGCGGTAAAATTAATGAAAAAGGCAACTACAAGTATTTTACTAGCTGTCAAAATTCTTGCGCTCGCAGAATCATTGTATCGTTAATATGTTACGCAATTCTGTAAGATAGACTCGCGAATACAAGTATCGATTACAGATTACGCGGTATCAAAAATATCGTAACAACGTTGCGAACGAACCTCATCGCCGTCTCTCTTTCTAAATCCTACGAGAAGAAGCGCATCGTGTTAAATTAAAAAATATTATGTCCTACTATACAGATTGCGATCGCGCGAATCGTACTTTGGTGAATTCGCGTTGAGAAAGAAGTCGTGAAAGAGATCGTGCCGAATTAATTATTTCGTTTGAAATCATACAGAAACCAGAAACATACAAGCCAGATTTTTTGATAGTAAAATATTCTGTTATTCGTTTTTTACCTAATCCCTTGCACGTGTGTATGTGTGTGTGTCATTCAACGTGTAATCTGTTTGGGTGTTTTTTTAAAAAAATTCTTGTCTCTTTGAAGAAAGACTTTGAAGTGTCGACACCTCGTTAAACCATCCTGACATTTTGCAACCACCGTATAAACGACCGTATACCCGAAAAGTTGAGAAGAGTCGTTGCGACGGACGGTCGAAACGAAAGTATTTTAAGCGACGATACGAAAATTCGACGATATATCCGAATCAACGTAATTACGACACTCGTCTTTCCATTTCATCCAGCCTACTTCATCCACCCACTTATCGTTAAATGAAAACGAAATCAAACTTACCCAGTACGTCCGAATTGACTAGGACGCTGCAGCTATACATCGGAGTAACTAATCGAGGGTGTCTCGAATTAAACGCACGACGGCAAGCTTCTTTGCATGCTGACATCAAATGACCGCCATCCATGTGTCCTTGATTCTGGCTGCCATTTTCGCTAATAACACAGGTTTTTATTTTTCAAACGATATTCGATTTTATTAGCTGATTAGAGACGTTGAAACGTAACTACGCAAGGAAAATGCAAGCGTGAAAGGCGAGAAAAGAACGGCGCGAGGAAAGAGACGATGATGCTTGTGAAATTGAAGCGTTAATTTCGTTTAGTTCGTTCATTCGGGTAATACGTCGGGTTTAATACGCAATATCAAGCTTTATGAAGCGATATACCTTTGTGAATCTTGATTATTAATTTCCCACTTTTTCACGACGAAACAGACACCCATCATAGGCTCTTCGCAGAGAGGTCCGGCGAGCGTTGCTAGTTGGAAACCATTGACCATGCTGCTCTCGTAACTAAACATGGTAGATAATATTAACGATAATAATATTAATTATATTTATTTGAATAGAGTTTATAGTTAACGTCCAAGTATTTTGTCGATCAACGAAAGAAAAGAAGGAAGGGCGGACGGTTACCAGTGTACTAGTTTTCGTCGTATCGATGATTACTTACGGAGCACGTGGATCCATAGACTTTGAATGGCTTTCCCAAAATTTCCTCTGCTTATAATCGGTTTCGTTCAACAAGATATTAGGTCCGCAGTTTCGTGGCCCGAACGACCATATTTTGTCTAACGCGTCTTCTTCCCCCGCTTCTCGAAACGCACCGGCCAACTCGCTTCTCAACGATTCTAACGCGCGTTGCTTCCTCTCCGACATCGTGCCTAACGATTCCATTTCACGATCGTTCGTAATCTTTTCCGTCTCTTTCTCCTCCTTTTCTGCACGCGATCTACCATAATGGTGATAGAACGCCTTTATTAAATCGGCGTTCTTTTCCAAAATCTTGGTCACTTTATCGGGTAAAGGTCTCGCATCGATTTCAAAGTAACACTGTCGATTCGCCGTCCAAGAAGCGAGACTAACGTCTTCGGCTTTCTTCTCGATCGCTTCGTTCACCATATCGACCTTCGGTGGAGGCACGACCGTTTCTCTAAACGGTACGATAGGCTCCGACACGTTTACATCGACTTTCGCGTAACATAACTTTAAATCTTCCAAACATCTCTCCAAATGCACTTCTCCGGCGGTGCTTAATACGATTTCCCCAGTCTCTTGAATGTGAACGACGGCACAGGCATCCGCCTGATTAAGCAATTTTAACCCATTGATCAACGGTTGCAAATCGTTCGGATGTTTCGGCTCCAGAGCCACTCGCATTATCGGTACACCGAGCGAAGTCAACTCTGAGAAAGATGGACAAGCGATAGTGGTGGAAAGCGTTGCCGTTTTTAATACGTAATCCTCCAAATCGCCGATTCCAAATACGTTACCAGCAAATACTTTGTTCGTCGGTTCCAATTCTCTACCCATTAGAAGGTACAGTTTTCGTATGGTAACTCTTGTCACGTGTTTTCCGAGCTTCGAGCTTTTCGACACGAGCTTTTCGTCCTCGTCTATCGGTACTAACTCGCCTGCTCCTCTCCTTTGTCCTTTCAATATTTCGCGCGGATCGTGTTTCGGTCCTAGAACATACACGACACTTCCTTCTTCCAGACATCCGGAATATATTCGCGCGAACGCTATTAACGTAGTTTCCGAATGTTCATCTTCTCCGTGGATTTCTTCGGAAATCGAAACGGCGCTTTCCGATCCTCCGCTCCCGTCACTCGGATCAAACTTGCCGATATTCGCGTCCCGTTGCCACTCTCCGACTTCCTCCGTCGATCGTTGCTCCTTCGTCATTTTCTCCGCGTGCTTCGTTCGTGCCATTTCCCTTCGATCAGCCAACTCTTCGGACGTCAACGGTTTTGGTTTATTCTCCGGCAACATCTTCTTCTCTAGCGGAAACATTTTCGAAATGAATACAACGACAGGTGAACGAGGGGAAGGATCGCAGGCTAGAAACGTTTCCTTCAATCGTTGCGTCTCCTCTGGCAACGTAGAGAAATCAAAGTTTCCGCTGAGTAAACGTTCTACCTTTTCCGAAGTTAAATTATCTGGTGCTGGAATTTTGTCGCATACGGCGTCGAGACACGCACGAGCCAGAGGTAGCCATTGAGAACAGACTGCCTGTAATTGAGCCTTGGCATCCGTGTGCCTCAAATCCCTGTTTGTCAATGTTATACCCAATCTTTCGGCCATCCACGCTACCTTGTCTTTATCCTTGCGAACGGTTATCGTTTCATACAGAGCCCAAAGGTTATCCAATATAAGTTGAACGAACAGAGGTTTCTTCGCTTTCTCTTGAGCTCCTCTCATTATTCTCTTGGTCTTGGTGTTTACGTAATAATCTCCCCAAAGCGTCTTTGATAGAACTTTCTCGCTAAAGCCTAATTTCGCCGAAAATATATTGGCAAATTCTTTAACACCGAATCCCCAGCCATCCGTAGCGCTGCAAAACAAGACGTTACCTTGCTCCGGAGAGAAATATAACGTAGAGTCGTCTATCTCTTCTAGTACGGACTGCCAATCCGCTATACTCCTTTCAGAGATGCTCTCCACCGTTTCCTTTTTCAACTCCTCCTTTTCTTCCCGCTCCATTATGTCACTGGCAAACAGCTCTCCCATTACAGCATTCACCTGTTCTAAAACCTGCGTTAAATGCACGTAAGCATCCAACGGTGACAATTTCATTTCTGTAATTAATCTGTCTATTTTGTTCAATAATAAAATTGGCTTTAAACCTTCCGCGTAAGAGGTAGACAAGGCGCTCCGTGTCTGCGGGCACACGCCTTCTACCACGTCGACCACGATAATAGCACCGTCGCATAGTCTCACAGCTGTGGACACTTCGGAAGCAAAGTCCACGTGTCCAGGAGAATCGATCAAATTGATAGCACATTCTTGATGATTATACTTGTGATAAAGAGCGATGCAGCTTGATTTCATCGTAATTCCTCGAAGTTGCTCGTCGGGACGGCTGTCCAAATAGCGTAATTTACCCGCGAGCTTATTAGAGATGATTCCATTGCTAGCAACCAGAGAGTCTGCCAAAGTGGTTTTACCATGATCTACGTGAGCTAATATACAGATGTTTCGTATATTAGCTGGTTCCCTTTGAATCTCCGTTAATTTTTCTGCGCTAATAAACCGCATTATGCGATTAATTGCGATTCTATGATTATCATTAATTTACAAGCAAATGTAAACGATACGAACGTTCAAAGTATCGATGAACGTGCATGTATAAAATACAACGTGGATAATAAGTCAAAGTCTTGAAGGTCGTGTGAAACGACGTATGTAAGTACAAGAGAAAGAAATTTCGACGTACGATATATTTTCCTATGTACGATGCGCTTACGGATATAAATATAAATATAAATATATATATATATATACATATGCATATACACACACACAGATATACATATACATATACATATACATATATATGTATACTTATATACACACCATAAAAACGATGGTAAACACTATTTCACTTTATTTTCTTTCCACAATACATAGCGTCCGTTAAACAGAATGACGTATCGTAGCTTTGTTGAACGTCGTCGTGTTCCACAACATGCCACTCGTTTCGGTTGCTTGATCGGCCGCAACACGAGTAGTTTATTGGCCAACGATCGACCGTTGTAAGTATCTGTCTTTTTATTAATCCCTCCAGACATATATTCGAGAAAGGAAAAATGGTTTTCACACTTTTCCTCGCGTTCATAGGTTAGGATCATTAATGAAGTATATCGTCTTGTGTCTTGATCAATTACTTTCTACGATTTTCCGCCACCCTTTGCAAAAGACTAAATCTTCTGCATCAATGCATTGCTTGTTTTGGCCAGCAAACAGATTCGGCTAGTGAAAAACGTATCGAAATGTTAGTGTACACC